TGATTTCCCTCAGCCTTAACATTATGTAGTTTAACAGTGCCAAAAGGTGGATGTTTCTGTACTTAAATGTTCATTAATTGTCCTTAAGACTCAAACTTGCCCAGGTAACTCCAGTCTCAATAACAATTGCACAGAACTGGAATTGATTTTCAAGCAAATTCAGATTATTCTTAACAAACACAAAAGCTTGCCTTGCACTCATTTAATGTGAGCATACGCCTCTAATGTATGTAGTACCACTCCTTGCAGCCAGTCTGGAATGGTTTATATATACTGTATCTGAAACAGTATAAATAAATAGGACAAATAAATTTGTATCTTAATTAGATATTCACAAACTGATAATTACAAGTGGAATCATTAATACTGAACATAGATAATGCCTCAATACAGAGTTCACTGCTTATGGAGCCAGGACTTTGTGACTTTCTGTGTGAGAGGAAAAATGCTAAAATCCTGGGTATAGAGATGTCATCTATTTCATTTCTATATGATTTACAAAAACAGTTGTAGACATTCCTGACCTGAGGTGATTTGCTTTAGTTTGGTGGACATCACTGAAATATTTTATGTGATGATCATCTTGTCTGTATCTGTGCTTGCTGGTGCAGCCTCCTGGGAGTTGCTGTGTTTTGTGCTCTTTACTTCTCTATGATGCAGCTTGACTTGCTGAAAAAGCCCCCTGGTTCACTGAGTTAGGCATCTCTCAAGTGGCACTGTGATGATTTAATTAAAGAAGGATATTACAGTGATTGTTGATGTGTGTAGTCCATGCAAAGAGCAGCTCACATGGGAAGAAATAGACTGGAGCAACTAGATTGGGTCTGATGGGGTAATTCAGCTTTTCATCTAAACATACAAATTTTTACCTCAGTGAAGCACAGCAAAAGGCTTTCTTCCCAATTCTCTGTACCCTGTAATTGTAGGCTTTTTAGCTGATGAGCATTTCAACAGAAAATCTCCAGTAGAGAATGTGGAGGGACCACATATAGTAAAATGGAGTTTCAAAATAAGATCACTGTTGAAAGCAAGAGCAAATATAGGTAATACTGCTTCACATGAAAAACGCTTCTTATGAAGCACCAATGCCAAATTATGAGCAGAGAGATTATTTTTTTGCAAGATTTGTATGCTTAGTAATTGAATTCAGATTTACAAATTTAATGATCTGGGTCATCCCAAACCACGTCTTTGAAATTTAAGAAGCTATAAAAATTCTGCTCCTTGGAGCTGGATTCATTTCTTCCAGCTGTAAGTACATAATGGATACTGGTATGTGTTTGTTGTCAAGCCTTCCACTGTCCACCATGGAGATACCTTTGGGGTAGAAACTGGTTAAAGACAGAGGAGGCGAATTGTATCCCTTGTGGCAGAAACCTCGTATGACCATCAAAAAAGAAAATTAGCCAAATTAGCACAGTTCTTCATCCAACCTTTAGAAGTACGCTCAACTGAAAACTCTCACCTTTGCTTCTGTCTTGATAACTTTAAGCTATTTCTCCTATACTCACATACCACTGCCTGAAGTCTTGTCAGCTGTCAATGTGTTCTGCCCATGTGGAAGGCCACGTACTTCCCAATTCCTAGCTCTCACAGTCATATTTTTTCTTCACATAAGATGCATTGTCAGTGTAGTCATAGAGTTTGTCTTTGAAATAAATTTGACAGTACACTTATATATCAAGACCAAGATTGCAAATTGTCTTCACAAGGAGGTGAGTGAAGTTTTAAATAATAATATTGTGTTTTAAGTTTGGTGTGAGTTGCCTCAGGCATCAGAAGTCTAATGAGCTTTGCCAGGGTTTGAACTGACTCAGTAGTAAATAAATGACACAGTCTTTGATGTTTGGAATTACTCAGAAAACACCTGCAGAATCCTTGCTGCATTGGAAACAACTTTCTAGTATACTTTCCCTGTTAATTCTGTAACTGTGTCTGAGAAGTGCTATGAAGTGTGCTTATATAACTTATTTTTTTTCTCATGCATATTAAGCTTTGTTTTGAGAATGATCATGAGGCAGTTGTTTGTGCACTTGTTTTCTTTGACTTCTCCAAGAAGGCTTAGGGCTAAAAAAGTTAATCCCATTGCATGGTTAAAGCTGGTGAGGTTTAGCAAGGTAAGCAGGAGATAAAACACTAGGAAAGCCTAATTGTGAGGGGAAATGAAGGAGCTATGTTTCCCTTATGAGCATCAGGTCAGGTTACTCAGATGCAAAAAAAAAAAAAAAAAAAAAATAGGAGAATTTCTGTATCAGGCATCAGCTTGTGTTTCTCAGAATTCTTAAGCAAATTTAGACAATTTGCTTAGATTTTGCTTTAGAAGCAAATTTTTGTTTATCATTCTAATTAAAACATATTGCCCTTTTCATTGTCTTAAATCATTGTTGATGAATGGCAGCCTCGAGTGCTGTTTCCCAAATATAATTAAATGAGGACATGTTTTCTGTGGAAGAGATTATACGTTTGCTGCATTTAAAACAGCCAAAACTGCAGAAAAACGGACTATGTGTACTTGAAGTTAAACTGTGCAACTTTGTAGGCTGGATTAGATGATTTTGAATATTTAATTGAAGCTCTTCTTTAAAAAAAAAAAAAAAAATCACACCTTGAGGTTTAAGATGACCATAAAAATAAAAGACCTTTTAGTCTTGCAGTTCAAAAGGGACAAGACAAATAAAGCTTAGTAGTCTGCTTGATAGAAAAGACTAGCAGGTCAATTATAACTAGTAAGGTGTGCGTTGTGTTTTGTCTTGTCAGATCATTTCCAGTTATTATGCAGTAATCTTTTCATGCTGAACTAACCAACCTGCTCACAATAGTGATGTCTGGCATGCAAGCTGACTTTTGCATAAAGGGTATTCACAGTTGACACAGAACAATATTTTGAACTAGACCTGCAGGAGGTGTATAATTTTGCAGTTCAGCCATCCAAGATCTCACTGTCCTAATTATGTTTTATGCACTTCAGGTTAAAACCTGTCCATGACGCAAGTTTAGGGAAGCATATGTGAACGTCAGTAATTTATTCCATATACACTCGAAAGACTGATTACCAACAGTATGAATAATGCTAATCATTGTTTGCACTTTTGTGCAATTCCCAAGAAAGAAGTATCTGCATATCACTCTCTGGAATATCGTGTTTCCGGATTGAGTTCCACTTATTATAATGTAAATGTATCTTTATCATGTTGCTTTACATTGCTTACAATGCATGTGCACAATTTATCATCAAATTTACTTATGTGCATTTTTTTTCTGCAGAATACCCCTATATCTCTAAGTGTACTTTATTGTTTGAAGCAAAGATACTCACTTGAATTTGAGAGACTTCGTTCACATTTAGAAGCTCATGAATTGGGGAGTTGAAGGAAACTTTCACTTATTTGTATGGACAATAAATGTAGGGACAGATTCCATTTTGTAGACAACAGCTTGTCTACTTGACTGTTTCTTTGGAACATAATTCATAGCTTTTTCTACTTAAATAATAAAATTTCATGCTAAATGAATGTCATAAATTGACACAGAAAAAAACTATTACTGCCTTTCTTTGGAGTTGAATTTGTATATTCTTTAAAAGAGAACAGGAATCTCAGCGTTCCACATCTTGCTATTGGACAATGTCTGCTTTTTCGCTGTACTTTTTTGGTTTGGACTACGCCACTGGATTTGTGTTTCTTGAATTGCTAATATGTGATCTGTTACTAGAGAGAACATTTGAATCTCTGAACACTGCATAAGCAGGTTTTCCATAAGCAGTGGAAGTGTTTGATTTTATATTCACTTTTGGTATGTACACCATGTATGTGATCCCAGCTCCCTCTCCCTTTCTTGCATTTGTACACATCTCCACTATGGGAATTTATTCATAGCTGCTAATAACGCTGATTTGCTATTTGCTGATTGCAGTCATCAGACTTATGCAGAAAAAAAGGTGTTAGAATAATTTGTTTTTCTCTTTTTTTCCACATCACCCAGTCACAAACTTTTAAAACTTCCCCCCCCCCCCCAGACTTACTACTTATTGGGGAACATAGATGACATACCCCAGTTTTTTTAAGATTTGACTAGTAATATGAAACATTCAGTCAGATGGAGATTCAGTTTTCTTTGGTAATTAAGGAAAGAAGATAGTTATAATTTATTTTACCAGAATATTATTTTATATTTTGAGAGGTAAGGCATTTAAAGAAAGAAAAGGAAGAAAGGTGAAAGTTATTTAATATGTAATTAAGATGCACTATGAAATTTGCAAAAAATAAAAAATTGTATTGTCAGCCAATGATTCTGTCTAAACAGTCTTTGTATTTTCCAACAAAAGTGTTTGCATTTCAAATGAAAGTGAACCTTTGCACTGAGCTTGATTTATAAAATTTATGGATCAAAATATCCTGTAAAATTGAGTTAATGAGGAAAATATGAGAAAAATAGAGTAAAATCATTTTAAATGTTTTTATATCCACTCCATTAGCTATTAAAAAAAATTGTGTTTCTGGCCCCGCTTTTTCCAGGGATGCAAAATTGCATTGTTTCGTAGTTTTTTCACTTCTCAAAACAAAAGAAGGATTTTTTGCTTTGAACTTCAAGGCTCTATTTTTTGTTTTGAACAGCCTTTGACAACTGTGTCAGGACTGTGGAAGAATGAATGAATGTATTATACTTTCGTATTCAATACAATACCAGTAATACCATCAAACATTAAATTTTGCATCCAGCAATATTGAACCATTTTTATCCACTTTATACCTTTTCTATTCTGATATTTCATTCTCTAAAGACCTTGAGCCCATACATTAAGTTATTGTTGACTATGACAAAGTACTTCCAATACTTTATCTTGCTAAAAAGCATCTAAAATAAAAATTGTAAATTAAAAAAAGTAGCAAGAGTGGACCTTTAATTTGAGAGATTGACCTAGGATTTATTGTAGAAGTTCTTACAGGAATAATTCTGACTTTCTTTATTCTTCCTTTCATTTTTTTTTTATCTGTGTTCAGATGGAAGACGTCATAGCTCGCATGCAAGATGAGAAAAATGGGATTCCTATTCGTACAGTCAAAAGTTTTCTTTCCAAGATCCCCAGTGTCTTTTCTGGTAAGAGTCAGTGTGATTTTGATATTATTTAAGATTTCCATTTTACATTGTGTAAGAGGATGCTCAAGTGGCAAACATTTACCTTAGTGTTATGGGGAATTCACATTTGCCTGGTCTGAGGAGAAACTAACTACCCTACCCTTTCAGTACCTTGATAATAAAAATTGTTTATATATTTCTTGCACATTAAAATGTGTTTTCATGTATGTGTTTTTGTCCAGTAGTTTTTCCGAAGGCAGTACTTACTTTACTGTAAAAATTCAATTTATTTTTATTGCAGTGTTTTTGCATTTCAGATCTGATTTTTAACTTGTTTATATGGCAAGTATAAATAGTTTAAAATATAGGCCAGTATATGAATATAAGAACTATTATATCATCAGCACAAGAAAATAGTAATCATAGCGCTCTACATGATGCTGAATTGTTGATATTTCTTACAACACTTACAATCTGCTTTTATGAGCTTTGGCTGAGATTTCTGTGATGACATGCAAAACAGCCATAAACTTTATAGGTAACCCAAGCCAGTACTGTTGCATTCACAAAAATATGTTCATTTTTTAATTAACTAGTACTAACTAGTAACTATCTATTTAATACTGGGAGGAGGTGGAGGGAAGGAAGAAAAAGCATAGCAATTCATTTTTTTTCATTTTTAGATTTTCTACCTCAAATACAATTGCAGTAGGTTACTGAAAACAAAAAACCAGAAAACAGGAAAGCACAGCTATATTTTTAATGCACTTAATATTTACATTCCTTCTGCTGGAAAAAAGAAAAAAAAAAAAGTAGTACATATATTTGCATGTATTTACAAAGGCATGTATTATATCTAGCCAGCTGCCCAGGAAAACATCCCATACAATTTGGAGCTTTGCAATTGTTTGATTGAGGAGAGAAAAATAAGTAGGTATGCCGCAGTTAAGTCATGTTTCTACAAGTGGTCGGACTCATGCTTGTGTCTATGCCATAGATAATACCTGTTAGAGCCTTTAAACAATCTTTAAAATTAATCTTAACAATTCATAGATATCCTTAGGGTCTGGGGAAGAGAATACATAGAGGGGATGTTATCAGCGCTTACAAATATCTAAAGGGTGGATGTCAAGTGGATGGAGCTAGCCTCTTTTCAGTTATGCCGAGCTACAGAGGCAATGAGCCCACACTGGAGAAGTGGAAGTTTGCTATGAAAATGAGAAAAAAGTTTTTTTACATTGGTATTACACAACACTGGAACAGGCTGCACAGAGAGCTTGTGGAGACTCTTTGTCTGGATATAGCAAAAAACCACCTGGAAACTTTCTCCAGCAAGCTACTTTAGCTGGGAGTTGGACTTCATGATTTCCAGAGGACGCTTCCAATTCTGTACTTCTGTCTTACAGGCTATCACTGTAAAAGCAGGAGGGGTATTTTAATTTTTGTTTTCTTGTATTTCATACTATTGTTTCTAAAAACAGAATGGCAGACTAGTTTAGACAGCAAATAGTCCTTATTGCAGAATTACTGACCATGTCTATTAAGGACGAATAAATTAGCAAAAGAAGTTTGGGGAAAGGTATCTGAATGTGACCTGTTAGTAGAATGTTATGATTGTAAAAAATGGGACAATGTGACTGTATTATCTCATTTACTGTGTCATCCCTTTGATGTTTTTACAAGTAAAATATACACACAGAGAAACATTTCAGATATAGGTAATTCTTCACAGCCAGTACTCTATGCATTGTTATTCTTCACAAGATCACAAACGGAAAAATAATAATATGTTAAGGATTATTTCACCTTGTGAAATTTTGAAAAAATATATTTCTTATATTTCATGTTTTCATGGAGAGCAAATATGCTGCTTAATGTTGAAGCCTCATACATATGTTCCTGAGTGTGTGTAATCTGCTTGAATTCAAACAAAATTTTCATTTGATTTCTGTCTTGAAATCTTTCAAAAAGAAATAATTTAGTTGAGTTTACCAGATTAAAATATGCTTAGATTGAGTTTGGAAGCTATTTGATGAAAAAGAATACAGACCCATACATGTATCATAATAGTACTCATATTTTCATCAGGAGCATATATGCTTATTTGGGAGTGTGCAAGATTGAGTAAGCAGCAAATTTATCTGTGGTGTAAATTTACTAGCTAGTGAATTGCAGACTAGTTTGGATAACAGTATTTCAGTCACCTAGGAGGTGAAATGAATTATGAAAAAACTCTCAATTCTTGACTGAACTCCAATGTGCAAAAATACAAAACTCTGAAAACAAGGAGGTAAAAAACAGACATAAAAATTGACAGTTGTCCTATTCCTTATACTCCATCCCTTGGTTTGGAGAAGTTCTTCACAGCTGTTTAGCATCAATGATGTTAATGATACTCATTTAAATTCTTTTATACCATAAAATTATACCTCATATTATTCAAATAGCTATGGTGAACAACTCAGTATATTGCAAAGTTTGTAACAGAAATGATAAGGCTTATTATACATATTAATGAACAAATACTGAAGAGGAAAAAATGCATCCTTGACTAATTCCAAGTGGCACTTTGCATAAAAGAATCATTGGAAGTGCAGTACTGAGAGCTGACTACTGACTTCTATTTGTATTTCTGGTAGACCTACAACCTGTTGTGCTCATCAGTAGATGTCTGTGGTGCATTTTAATTTATCATGGCAAGCAACAAAAATATCAAATCTCAGAATTATGCTGCAGTGTTTCTTCTTGGATGTGATGAGCTAATGGTTTCATTGCATTCAATATTTTTTACCAATGTTTATGCCATTCATAGAATAGATATTCTACTGACTACCCAGCTATAACTTGCTTAATCAGATAGCACTTCACTGATTAGTCCTGATACTAACTGCCTTCTGGAGCCATTGTTACAGGATACTGTATGCCTAGTGTGATTTTGACCAATAATATTTTTACACTAGATGTTAGCCCTTATTGAATCTTGCTAAATGACCTCATTCAGCTAGTGCTTGTGAGGTCTTTGAACAGAAAGAAATGTGCTGTAGCAGATGGTCTTTGTAATGATAGTTTACATCAAGCTGACTCACCACAATGTTATTTGCAACTAGGCTCAGAGTAGATACGAACAGATGAATAAGCATGTAGAGCTTTGTAGAAAACAGACTAATGGGCCTAAGCATCCTAGAACATCACTGGTTAAAAACAGACTTATACTGTGAGTACCACACTGGTCATTGCTAATGGTAATTCTTTTGGAAGGTGTGTGATTGTCTTCTGGATGAACAAGTAGTCAATGAGTTTGGGGTTACATCAGGCTTGCAGCCAGTCACTAGAAAGGTTCTGCTGAGCTCCATTTTAGGGCCAGTTCTCTTCAGTTTTCATCAATGACTTGGATACAGGACTTGAAGATATACAAAGTACATTCATTGACAGCATTAAATTGGAAGGAGCTGCTAACTCCTTTGAGCATAAAGAATCCTTGGCAAAGAGATCTTGACAACTTGGAGGACCAGGAAACCACCAACCATATGATGCTCCACAAAGCAAGTGCTGCATTCTGTACCTGGGAAAGGAAAACCTTGGATGTATGTATAGACTGGGGGAAGAAAGACTGGAGATCAGCCTCACGGAAAGGCATGTGGGGGTTGTAGTTGATAAGTTTCATTTGTCAACAGCGTGCCCTGGCAGTCCAAAGGGCTAACCGTACCCTGGGGTGCACCAGCCCAGCACTGCCACCAGGCGAGGGAAGGGGTTCTTCCACTCTGCTCTGCACTAGTGTGACATCACCTTGGGCACTGTGTGCAGTTTTGCGCACTACAGTATGAGGAAAGAAATATACTAGAGAACACCTAAGGAAGATGGTAATGGCTCTATAGGGCAAGGTGGGTGAGGAGCAGCTTGGTTTGTTCAGCCCAGAGCAAAGGAGGCTGAAAAGAGGCTTTGTGGCAACTGCAGCTCCTCACAGGGAGAGGAGGGGTAGCGCTGTACTCTGGTGATAGCAACAGGGCCCAAGGGAATGGCATGGAGCTGCGTCAGGGCATAAGGAAAAGGTTCTTCACCAGAGGGTGGTTGGGCACTGGAACAGTCTCCCGAGGGCAACGTTCTTGGCCCCAAGCCTGCTGGAGTTCAAGAAGTGTTTGAACAACACTCAGAAATACAGTTTGAATTTTGGTTAGTTTTGTGTGGAGCCAGGAGTTGGACTTGATGATTCTTGTGGTCCTTCCAACTCACGATATTTTGAGATTCGGTGACTACTTAAGCATATTGCCACACTATGGTGGAAGATATCATAGTTCAAATAATAGCTTCTGGGTCTTTGTGAGTGGAATAACTATTTTTACTACGAAGAAATAGTCTGCTTGTGACCATTCACATTATTATCTTAATCATTTGTAGTAGCCATGGAATTTGTCTTTGTGTATCTTATTGAATCACAGAACGGTTTGGGTTGAAAGAGACTTTCAAGATCACCTAGTTTCAACCCCCCTCCTATAGGCAGGGACACCTCCCTCTAGACGAGGTTTCTCAAAGTCCCATCCAGCCCAGCCTTGAATGCTTCCAGGGAGGGGGCATTTCATGTTCATCTTCTAATTGCGTGATCTATAGTGTTTCTGAAAAAACAGAAGCAGGCTTTCACCTAGATATTATTTCTCCATGGAATATTCTCCCAGACTTCTATATGCATTATTTGTTGTGTCTGAATCATTTTACTGCTTTTTTAGTATCCATTAGGTCTCTTGATCACCTTGAGTCTGTATCAAAAAGCGCAGAACAGAGACTATGATGAGAGCTAAACAGAAACTATGTGAAAAGAAGACTCAGGAATAACTGATAGCCAAATCTGAATTCAGTGAATTAAGCCTACACGTACATCTCCGTAGAGACAGGCTGCATTTTCAACAGGGCTAATGGATAAATTGAGTATTTCACACATGAGATGATGGAAAGATGAGTAAGTATAATTTGAAAGTAGCTGTTTTCTTTTTATTTTGCAGCACGATAAAGACAATAGATTTTCTTGA